TAATAGTACTCAAAAATATAATAGTCTTAATTAAAACAAATGTATGGATAAATTTAAATTGCTTACATTAAACTGAACAAAAAACGCATTTAACGTGTTACCGTTAATGAAAGTGAAAATAATTGTTGATTAATTTAATACAACAAAAACCGTTTCTTTTTATTTTATCACTTTCATGAGATAATTCTCTAGGGTTATTACTTATTTTCTTATGAAATTAATATAACGGCGACTTTAAAGAGCAGCTATGTAGCTTTAAATTAAACATTATGACAATATAAAAAAATCTTCCGAATGATTTATTAAAGCAATTTAAGATTATTTTTTTAAATAGTGTTCATCAGAAATATTATAAACAAGAATGACATTGAAATTAAGAATCATTGTAGTATTCATAATTAAACATAATATTTGTATTTAACTGTAAAATACTCTTATTTATTCATTTTAAAAACAATTAACTAAGTCAATGTATATATTTTAACTTAATGCAATTTAATACGATTACTTTTATGTTTTTAACCGCGGACCTATTTAATGTAATTATGTTTAATTTATAGTTATAGTTCGATACTCTAATGCTACAATATCATATTATAATAAATGCCTAATTACTTAAAGAACATTTTATTTTAAATTTATTATTACTTTGTGTGTAAAATGAACTTAATGGTTTATGTTACAGTATTCTATAATATTTATTCCATAACGATTAACATACAAGTAAAAGACTATTAAAATAAATACAAATCGTTTTATACGGATGAAGTAGAAAATTAATTTGAGAAACGTGTAGGTCACACAGAAAATTGTTTCCCGAGTACTTTTTATAAAACTTCTAGACAAGCGTCGTTATAAAGTTGTCTTGTCGTATATGACTGTGATCAATTCGATATGGGACCATCATATTATTATAGATTGGCCCCTTGAGAGATATCTTTCAGAGAAATAACTTGAAGCAATTGGTGAAAGGGTACATGTTTGTTAAGAATATTGTTTTTTTTTTTTTTTTGTCTAATTCGTCCTCAGCCTGTCTGGATACGCGTAACCGTATAATATACGTACAAACTGCGTAATACTGGCAGTTATAAATTGTCGCTTGTTAAATGATATAAACAACTGGGATCCCAGCCGGGTACACCTCGCTAATGGCATGGCCAATTAACCCTTCAGGGGCCTGGAATTCGGTTTTTTGGTATGGTAGTCGTCGACTGAAGGTGTGGTGGTGTTAATACACGCGGGACCCGGTCCTGCGGACAAACTAGAATCAGCGAGAGAAAGAGTGAGTGAGAGAGAGAGAGAGAGTGTGAGAGAGAGTGAGTGAAAGAGAATGAAAGGAAAAGGCTTATTATATGCATTTTGTGCACAAAGAGAAAATAGAATGGTGTAAAAAAAAAGACCCTTAGAGCTTCTTGAGGGTTTTATAATTAAAACAAAATATTTTCCTTTCTACTATTTACTTATTGCCGACTATGCCATTTTTAATTCTGTTACAAAAACGGTTTTTAGCGACAAAAAAACTTTGACACTGATGTTTATCAAATGGAATATTATTATTTTTCTTATCGATCGGTACAAAAAAGAATATACGTGTATGCACGTAATTACCCGAATTACATATGTATATGTATTAGTTGAACTAAAGTTTTTTGTCACATTGTTAATATATACATTTCATTGGAAGCTTATGGGTAAAACAAATACAATTATCTTGGAATACAATCAAAATATATAGATTATATTATTTTAATAAATTCACCAAGTATTTAATTGGTTATTATTTAAATTGATTTTAAATTAATATATATTATACATATTAAATATTTACAGGGTTATAGAAATTTACTTTCAAGACGTAATTTGGCTAATATTTCTTTTTTTGTTAACTTTTTACAATAACAATGTATTCCATGTAATGTAATGTATTTTATTTAAATTAGACAGTTTTTGCTTAATTTTATATTTATCCAAGCCACGTTTAGCGATGACTTTGCACGTGTGTCAAGTATTACAAAGACATTTCCTGCTATCACTTTTTTTCAGATAAAATAATATTTTTTACACGCTACTGTTTTTTTTTTTAAATTATTATTTTATAAAAAAATTCGTCTAAAGTTTTCATTTCATTTTTCTGTTTTAAATTCTTGACAGATAAATTAAATAAATTTACTTGGAAAACGTCAAGGAAATGAAATAAACCCTTTTAAATGCTCAAACTGTCACCCCATAAATGTAACAAACGTTTTAACACTTTTTCTTCATAAAGGATTACCCTAGATTATTCCCTTTTCCCAAAACGAATGTAGCAGTTATGTATCTTTGATCAATAACGTAAAATTTTTTATCATAATTCTAAATTAAATATTATTAAATTCATTATTATTAATAATAATTTATTGTTATATAGTTTTTGTGAAAACAGTTATGGCTCTTTTAAATACAACAATTTGAAATTTGAAAGATTTACAAGTTTATGATTATTTTTTGAAAAATATTTTATTAGGCTGTAAAACGCCTACTTAAAATTATATGACTCGTCTATAAATTGAACAATGAGCGCATACAGTACTTTGAACATATTATTATTACTTCTTAGTACCTATTTTGCTTTATGTCTTTGTATACGGTTTTTTGTATACCACTTAAAAAGAAATAATTATAGCAGTATTTATAATTTATTATACAGATACTAATATAAAGTATTTTTACCTAAATACATGATCAAAACTTACTATTAAAAGTTAAAAATGTATATAACCATAATAAAATATATGGGTATATTTTTATTATTTAACATTAACACTTGATATTTTTAAATTATTTGTAAATTTTCTGTGTGATACGTGTGTTTTAGTAAATAAGTGAAATAAAATGATTATTTGAACTATAATAATGTGAATAATTAGAATTAACTGTGGATCTATTCATAGTTGCACCTGAATTTTGTTATTACAATAATATTATTATTAATGTTAACCGCATTATATTGCCTTGTGGTATTTAAAAAAATATATGATTATTATTCAAAAGCTGTTTTTATAAGTTTTAAAATACAAATTGTGTAGAAAAATTACCGGTTTTATTTAAATAATTATTTTATACAACAAATGTATGATAGTTAAATTTGGGATTTTACATAATATTTAAGAAAAAAATAATAAATATATATTATTATTACCTACTCAATTGTACTTGGAATATATAACTATTATTATAATTTTTTCGGAAATTGTATGATAGATTTGGTGATTAATCAGATCTTGACGTATTCGGACTACCGCTGTTTTCCATAATATAGTATCTTTGGGGCTTTTTGTCTTCCCTTATCGTTGATGCCACGCCCATTGTTATCGAACTTTCTCCCTTCGGGACAAACCGAACTTTGCCAACGAAAAAATTCGATTTCCCTAAGTGGAAAGCAGACCTATAAATATATAATAATAATTGGATTTGGAGACATAAAAAAGTTTTTTGTATTCGAAAGAAATTACTGATGTTATTCACATTTCTACAATACTTTTAAAATAAATATTTTTAAAAATTAGAAAATTAAACAAAAATTAAAAAAATTAACTAAATGTACTTAGGGTGTTTGACGTTTTGTACGAGAAAAATGAATACAGGAACAGTTCAAGGTTATAAGTATTTTGTAAATATAATTTTTTATAAGTATTTTTATTAATTTTCAAAAATAAGCAGTATCAAAATTTAATTCCTATAAGTTATTCTTACGTAATGTATTCTGTTAATATTTAATTTTTACAACGAATTATTTTATTAATTCACTACTGTTTATATTATTTCTGAAATTTGTTTAAATATACTTAAAACTTGTTTTGACTAACTATGTTCATTTAAAAGTATATACTACTCGCATTTTCTACGGTATATGGCTGATTAGTTTATTGATTGTTTAATTCAAAAATAATAACTTAAAATACTATCATAAATATACTATTTAATAATACCAAAGACAGTCAGATAATCGAATTTCTCAAGCTATGATATTTTATATCAGAATAGATATATTATTCTACTAAAAAGTTTTACATTAAAATCACTAACGTCCATTTGTCTAATTATAATTTATGCATAAAGTCATATAATACAGTAATGATGGTATAATATATTGTTGTACAGATGCCCGCGTTGAAGTCAATATACATCCGGTTGGCCGTCAATACAACGTGCATAGCACATTAAATGTTCTAGTTTCCTGTTAGCCTAAAGCCATTAGGTAGCCGAATGTGGGTGACCGGCAGACCGGATTGAATTAGCGACGACAGGGCTTTTGCGGCCGTTGTTTTTGTATTATCTCTGTGATGGATTGAAGCGCGGTCCAGAGGGTCCTGCAGGGAATAGGGTTCCGTGGTTATTGTTATTTTTATCCTACCTCGTGATATAGAGCTGGTTTAATATGACGGATAGCATACTCGATGGATGGAATTGCGATTTTATTTTTATTTTTATTTTTTTATATTCATCTATTTTTAATATGTTTTCCAATATGGTTTATATATCTGCAGTTTGGATAGATTTTCTGCAATTGAAATATTCTATAGTCTATAAATAACTAAGAAATTATATAATATAATATAGGTATGAAATATTTATAATATGCTATGACTCTATAACTATATAATATATAATAATAAATGTTTAAGAAATGTAACATCATTAATATTCAATGTTTATTTAAATAATGTATAGATTCTAGCATAGTTTGAGTACAAATTCAAATGTCGTTATTCTTTTATCAGAAAGTTCTAAACAAATAAATAACTGATTGTTTATGATGAGTGATTTTAAAAATGAATAGGAATTTTGTAATAATTACTAAATATTAAAGTCTAAAAAGTAAATAAAATATATACTCTTAATAAATAAGGATACATAATTAGTTAAGTATAACAATACACATGTAAAATTAATAAAATTTGAAAAAACTATTCAATTATTTTAAATAACAGGATATGTAATGAATATTTACAAACAAACAATGTTATATTATTATAATTTAATGATAAAAATTACAATAATTAATCACTTTCAAAATCTATGGCTTCGGACAAATAAAAGAAACATTTCTTTAGTTTAATCACATTCATTCGATCTTCTTTGAACCCACTTACTGCTAAAACTAAACGATTAAATACTCGGTAGTTTGATTGCATTAACTTCAATACGTTTTCATAACTTATAGAATCAAAATAATAATTAGCTGGTGCTTTCATATTTAACATAGTTTCCATGTCAGCACTTAATACATTTATGAATTTCTGAATTTCTAGTCTTGATAATAAAATCACGTCTTTTAAATTAGTATTTTTTAAATCATCAAAATATTTTAAGAAAAAGGAAAGTAAACTAGTTAAATTTTTTGAAGCCTTGGAAGATAATATTAATGGAAACTGTAATCGGCTAATATTGAATACTGATAGTGGTCGTATATATCTGATGAAATTTTTTGTAAAACTTCTTTGGTATTTTTCTAATTCATAATTTTCCATTTCGTCTATAAATTGAATACCTAGTTTTAAGTGTGTTATTGTTGTCCAATAAAAATAAATGTATAACGTTTTGAATACGGACTCATGATACGTGTACATTGCACGTGGGTTAAATTCATACGTTGCCTCAAAAGATTTTAACTTCAAGTCAATCAAAAATTCGTTTGGCATTGGTATATGTGTAATTAGATGGTTCACAAAACCTGTTAGCGCTATCCTTTTTGGATCAAAATCTAAATCCACTACGTTATCAGAAACATTTAAACTATGTATAAAATCGTCAGTATCTTCGATATTTTTGTTCATTTCGTCTAATAAAACTATGTAATCATCGTTATTATACTTCAATCGATATTGAGTCACTATGTCTTTGTCGCTACACCATGTGTCCCAAAATGTGTATAATTTATCTAAAATCATACTATGAACCTTTTCTATATGTTTCTTAGCAATTTCTAAATCAACTGAAGACATCACTGGTTCTACTGGTATCTTTTGTATGAAAACAGTATTATATACATTGTTTAAGTATAAATTTAAAGCCATTAATTCACCAAATCCTTTTGTTTCACCGTGAGAAAGTATGCTCAGCATGTTGACAACATTTTCACCAAATTCTCTAATTGGTTTATCGACATGCGCAGATATTTTGTCATACTAAAACAAAGTTAAATTGTTAAATTTATTTTAAAAATTAATTACTTGATGCAATTTAAAATATTGTTGTTTCTTATAAAATATAAATAAACAAAACTAAACAACTATGTTTTTGTACCTTGTTAAATGGATACGTATTTAATAAAGCATCACTTAGAACTAAATGTTTGACGGAAGATTCAACAAAATTACATCTCACTGCCCTAAACATGGCAGATCTTATATTTTGCCCATGTTTACATGACCTTATACTTCCATGATATACATTTGGACAGTCATCTACTTCATCGTCTCTTTCATGGTTGCACCCATATAGTGCCTAAAATAATATTATCCATATTATTAATAATTTGTTATTGATTGTCTGTTATAAATTAATTAATTTTAATTTTAATTTAATTTATAGGGTTTACACAAAATAACAAAAAATCAAGCTCGTTTTTATTATTTTTAAAATAAACTTAAAAAAAAAAAATATTTCGAGTTATTTTATATTTATGAGTAAATATCTTATTGTAACAAAAATTATGAAACATTAAAATATATTTATTTAATAGTTATACAAACATTATGTATAATTGTATTAAATTTCAATCGTTTCCTTTCACTTAAAACTTCACCATTTTCATTGACAATAAATTTAAAATGTCGTGAAAAGATTTTCTGCCAACCATCGAATTTAACATATTCGCGTATTTCTTGTTCTAATTCCTCTTTACATTCTGATTCCTTAGTGCTTATTGCTTGTATTGACCAAATTGTTACTCCTAAAATTGTTGCTAAAAAAATGGGTTTAAACATTGCCCTACAACAAAAAAATATGCAATACAGTTTGTAAAAATGTACATTTTAGATTTTAAGCAGAGTGATGAATTAATTAATTTAACATGTGTGTATTTTATGTTTTTATTATATTTTGAAAGAGCAAAAATGCTTCAATCGTATACTTTAAGGGTGGTTGTTGATAGCAAATAATATGAAGCTAGGTAGTATTTTAGAAGGCAAAAGAAAATATTCTTATTACTTTTCAAAATAATCATAAAAAAACAATTATTGATATAATTGACTAAAATTCGACAAAACCGAATACAAAGTAATTTTATTTAAAAACGTTTTATTAATATTTTGTTATACATTTAAGTTAGATATTAAGCAATATAGTCACTGTTGTTAAAAAGTTATAGGGCATGGTGTGATACAGTGGACCTACCAATTGTCTGATAGCACTGCTGTTAAGTTAGCACTTCGTTGCTAATTTCCATATAGGTGATTACCTGGACATTTTAGCAACATACACTCATGTCCTAACTTAAGGATAATCGTCAAGGCGAATTGTATCTAGTTATATATCTCCCAATATAAAAATAAAAATAAATATTGAGTTCAAAAGACGATTCTGACTAAAATTTGGTAACATTTTGGAGAAAAGATTTTCTTCAACATAATATGTGTATATGTTTAATTATTTGTAGTGTGAAAAAATACTTCGTAATAATTAAGAGTTACCTACATTACTTTTTAAAGGTGCCGCATATAATATTTTTTTAAGCAAACTTTTTACTATTTTTCACAGACAAACATAAAAAAAAAACCAATATATTCTTTTTGTTTACAATCTAAAATAATTATTATACTATATATAAACGTATTTATTAGGTCACCATTTGTTTTACTACGACAGTTTAATAATAGTTATAGATATTACATAATAATAGTAATTTAAAACAATATTTAAAATATAATATTTTAGAAATTGAACTATAATTTTAAAGTTGATATTATAACAAGAAGAAATAAAATCTTTAAACATATTATTTATTAAATAATTTTTGTCGAAATTCGTATTAAAAATAGTATCAAATTAATTAATTCAGTAACTATATAATAACACTGATTTAATATTATTATTTCAGTAAATGCAATTTACTCGCATTAAATATGATATTAATTAGTCACTTATGAGTTATTACCTAAATGTCAGAGTTTTACAATGCATATTATTGTATTGAAATTAACTAAAAATTAGATATTGCTGTAATATATTATTGAATTTCGTTTTAGCTTAAAATCGGTATCATTCTTAAATTATTAATTTTATGAGTTATGTCTATGGTGTTATAATTATTGATTATGAAAAAGAGTACTATTAAGTACTGTTCAATAATGCTTTATAATATTATATAATATATGTATTTTGTATTAATAATATTTTTTAACCCTTTGCAAATATATTTGTATGTAATTTACTGATTTATCAAACTTAATAAATGTAGACATTAATTATAGAAACATTAATGTATGGATTATAATTTTCACATATTTGTATAATATTGTTGTATAAGTACTTACGTAATGTGTTTTAGTTCATTCGATTTTTTATGATGACAACATGCATTATACTACGAACTGAAACATATACCGACTGAACGACTTATTGTGTTTTGTTTTACTGCATACTATTCTATACAAATTTGTACAGGTGTTTAAACTCATTGTTTAAATAGCATACGTTTGAAAGTTACTGGTTTTTATTTCTTTAAAATGTTTGCATATTTCTCTAACAGTAGTACCTACGTAATATTATTTAATTGTATTTAATATAAAATACAAATTAATAATGCATTGTGTGACTCAAAATATCATAAAAAAAGTTTTAAATTTTAATAACTCTCTTATTGGATTTTGTTAAAGACAAAAAATAATTTTAATTTATGTATTAGGTGACTTGTGATTAATAATTATATTATGTTTCATAATTAATTCGGAAAATTTGTAATGACGTTGTGATTTAAATACTTTACAAAATGTAATTTATAATTATATTACCTTAACTTATAAATCGATTCGTTAGAAAGACCATTATCGTTTTCTTCAATAAATTACACAAAAATAATCGTAATATTTTTTTGGTTATATTATAAAATAAACTTAAATTTAATAGTTTACATTTTATATTTTGTAATTATTTTTTTTGTGTTTAATTCACAAAAATATCGTACTAAAAACAAAAGAGAATTTTAAATATAAAATTTAAAACTTTTATTTTAAAATTGGGAAAAAAATTATTGTATTATTATTTTTTTTTCTTGTTTCATAATTTAACTAGAAATCCATAAAAATTATTAAATCATAAAGTCATATATATTTTTGTTTCTAATTTAGCACTGAAAATTATATTTTTATAATTAATTTAATTTATTTTCTTATAAGAAGACAATGTTTATTGTAATTTCTATTTTTTTGATTAGATTGATTGTAAATAAAAATTTGTCAGCTTCTACATTTTAAATATTATAAAAATTACAGAATTTTGTTAATGCTATATTGAATTTTTAATTTCATTTGCGTAATTAAATTAATCGATTATTTGGTAAATTTTATAAACGCGCGGGTATAATAAAAATACTTAAAATTTAAAAATTTGTAATACAAAAAAATCAAAAACAATTATTATGAAATTGTTAATTTAAATACAATTTTGAAATTATCCTTTTTAAATATGTTAATATTAATATCTTGCGTAATGTGGAAGAAATGTACAAATTATAGTTTATCAAAAATTCAAATACTTGTTTCATTACTCCATCTTATAAATCATGATTATTATTTACATCATTTACCAGGGATTTGACTTAAATTAGAAATGTTTTTCCTACTTAAACTATACTATATCTATAAGTTGGTTTTAACGTGAATATTTTTGTATATATAGTGTATTGACATTTTTTTAGGAAATTAATTAATGATTTTAAACTCTATATGGTATTAGTTTTTGTCAGTGTTTGAATATTAAAGAACACGAAAAATAATATGAAAATACTTTTTATGACTAAAGATATTAAACGTTTATTTGTTACGTATACATTTTTATGGTAAAAATGGTGCAATTGTTTTTATTTGTTCATTCATAAATTATTCTAATTTGATATACTACAATTTACTATTCATCCAACGTATGACATAACGTAGGTACATCGTTCTGATAACATTCATCGATTAACTTTATTTTAAAACCATTCCAAGTATTTTTTTTTGTGATAATGTATGTCGGCAAAACTTTATCTTTTGAATTTTTAAGTTTTAAATACACTTAAGGAAATTCATAGTAGGTATTTGCAATTACTCAATTGTAGTGGTATTTCATTATTTGAATTTAAGGCAAACAATGCATACGCCGCTTTAAAGTTGTAATACATTTTATCAGTTTTATAATACATTAAAACTTATTGAACGCGGATATCTATTTAATTCTTTATTTAATGATATTATTAATAATACTAGTATTATTGTTATCACCATTGTTATTATTATTAAATATGCAGACTATTCTTTTTTTTTTTTTTTTAAATTATAAAAACAATTAAATTTTAAAATACTATACGCTTTGGTATAGCATAACAGTCTAGAATTTTTTTTCAATAAAAATCTGATTTAAATTTTAACTTAGTTAATATCAACTGAAAAAAAGCAATAAAAAGTTAATTTTTATAATGTTTAAAATAATGTATTATAAAAAATATAATATGACGTATTGATTTAATCTAAAAATAGACGTTGTTTTCATTATTCAACTGCCGCATTAATATATTTTTTTAAATTAATTTACAAATTATTGAAGCTTTGGTTTTTTGATTTTTTCCAAATGGCTTCTCTTTGGAGTAGTTTAATCATACAATATGACGTCAAAATAATAATTAAAAAAAAAATGGTCTGAAAAAGTTGACTCGGTTTTTTAAGTAAGTCCTAATTTCATTTTAAATTGTCAGGTGCCGAATAGTAAAGTGTTTCCATTTACTTTATTCCTTTTCACAGTATATTTTCTTTCAAAAACTTTGTTTAAATTAATTATCTCTTGCGTACATTTACAATTTAATCATGTTCTTATAGTATTCTTTATGAATAGTAGTCAGTAATATATTATTATTATTGTTATTACATCAACCTGAATAATAATGACTGAATAAATAAATAAATTTATATTATATGTGTGTGTGTGTGTGTGTGTGTGTGTGTATGATTAAATAAACAAAACTGAAGGAATGAGAGGAGAAGAGGTCAAAAGAGAGGAATTACATCGTATCGAGGAGCGAAGGTTGATTATGATCGCAAAATTGATGAATTCCACCGCGACAGTTTCGTCGACCCTTATAACCGGAAATGGCTCTTGAAAATTATTAACGAGGTTATTTGGACCTCAAATAGCTTCTTGGTTCACAGATTTTCCCTTCTTTTTATTTTATTTGTCGATTTTTATATATTTTCTTCATAATGACTGTATGCAATAAAATATGAAGTAAATTATCATTTGATAAAAAAAAATAATTTTATTTGATATTTTTTTCCATTTTAACCACAACACGTCTTTGTCAAACGTCAATCATTTTTTCACCTGTTGTAGTAAATTCATTTTACATTATAAATAATAATAATATTGGATCTTACATTATTTATTTTTAAAACTTGTTAATTTAACATAGTTTAATGATTGATTATATTGTTTAGTTAATATTATTTTCGCACACATTTTTTGCTTATTGTTATCACTTATTATCATTACTATTTTAAACCTACAGGAATATTCATTTTTTTTATCTCTTGGCTAATTGTTATTGTTTTTAATAATTATTTATAATTTTTTAACAAAAAATATGAAAAAAAAAATACTACACTTATAGTTATGTAATTAATTTGCATAGAGTATTTTCTTTAGAATTAATTATTACAGCTTTACCTTTTGTTATTGTACAGATAATTTAATTGGTATTTTTTCGTATAAAAGTAAACTTTCATAGTTACATAATAAAAAAAATGAAGTTCAACTACCCTTTTTTAAAACAATATAGGTAGTGAGATATTTTTTTATACTTTTAAATTAAATAATTCATTCTGATTCTTTAAATTATTTTAATATTTCTTTACTTACATTGGAATAATTTAAATTAAAGTTTAGTTGAATTTTCTAACTTATATTTGAATCTGTTTTTAAAACTAAGGAATTAATAACATTTATAAATTTATAATATCTATAGTATTTATTGATTTATTAATGTTGTATACAAATTCTTTTTGATTTTGGCCTTAACGATCAGCCCTCTAATTAAATTTTCTGCCATTTTTCCCCATTTTCTGCAACTTATCACTAATGTAAATTCGTTTCTATTGCTTCAAAATATGTTTTTGACCCAGTCTTCCCATCCTAAGCACAGTTTGCTTAACTTCGGTACTTTCACAAACGGTAACCATCTTAATACGTAAGTCCTTTTTTCTCTAAGCATGACTAGCCCATATTTTTCTACTTGTTATTTCGGAAATTATGTCTGAATTTTGAAACAAGCTTTTTCGTTTTTCATTGTGACGTTATCTCTATTAACAATTGTTAGAGTCTATACATAATGGTTCATATTTTCATATTTTTTTTAGAATTTTTCACTCAAACATTGTAACTCTTATTTTATTGGCCTTTTTTAGAACCATATAACACTGGTAGTAACCGAGTATTTCAGTTTTCGGTTTTCTTGATAAGACCTTTGAGTCAAACATACTTCCTAAATTATGATAACCCAAATTTCCCATCTGATTCTAGTGTTCACCTCAATCTTAATATTATTATAGTATTACATTGCGTAATAATAGATCCTAGATATTTAAAATCGGGAAATTCTCTGTAACATAATATAGTACTCCATTTCTATAAGCTTTTTTTTTTTTTATCGATAGTCTGCTTTTAATCCAATTATTAGACATTCTGTTTTCTTGTCATTGATCGTTACTAAACTTACCTACTAAATTTATTAATCTCTAAAATGTTATTCCAAAATTAAAAAAAAAGTTATTTTCCAATAAAGCTAAGTCATTGGCATATATCAGATAGTCCCATTTTTATATTATCCAGCGTAACTCAACTAATCACATTTGTTTCTCTGACTGTTCTCTCTAAAACTAAATTAAAGAAGATAGAGAAAAACAGCGTCTTATTGTCTTAAGCCACGTGAATACTCTTATCTAGTTTCTATACTGCATTCAATGTTTTAATTTAAATAATAAGTAGTATTAATATTAATTATTTTTGAAGCTAGACTTGATCAATATAATGTAAAAAAAATAAATACTTGTAATTCATTAAGCATCAAAGATTGAAATTTTTTTATATTAAAAAAGAATTATGTAAATTAAGTAGGTACCTATCTAATTGTTTATGATATTTAATTCACGTTCGTGATTGAATATTATTTATTGTTAAAACATATAAAACAAAAACATAACAAAAAATACGTATCAACACCCAGAAATGTGGGTAAGAATCGCATCATATTTGAAAGGGTTATTTATTCGTATTCACATATTTTTCCTTAACATAACATTTTTAGAAATATTTGAATTTAGGAAGGGGATCACTGATAACTGCCGATTTCCAATGTAGAAAACCTTATTTTTCAT